AAATAAATAAATAAATAAATAAATAAATAAATAAATAAATAAATAAATAAATAAATAAATAAATAAATAAATAAAGTTACATTTTTACTGGGACACATAATTTCATGAATTCATTACTTAACTTGCGTTACATATATGACTGGGCTAAGGAAAGCATGGGAATCTCAATCGGTTTCACTAATTGAAGGGCAGTTTTTAAATTGTCGATGAAATAATACATGTAATAGCGTTTTCAAAAACATGTATAATATGATTTGATAGAATTTCATGAGTCATTAATAATTTATGTCACAAAGATGTGTTGACAGATAGTAATTTTACCCCCTACATCGAGTGATAAGGTTGCAAATATGGAGTGCTGTTAGATATTTGATTGTCCTTAAGTTCACCGTATCTGGGCAGAAAATTGCTTAAAACAAGCATTCAAATTAAAAAAATAGAGGTTTAACTCGGTGAACAATGGCCATTCGTGTCCCTAAATGATCAATGACTGATGGACTATGAATTCCACCAATCGCGTTCATGGGTTRAGGTCATGTGATCAGTTGGTCAACACAACCTTCGATCTGCTGCGAGTAAGAAATGGCGATCGCGTCGAGAAGTCACTCATATTTTTTTTTATTTTGACTACAGAATTGAAGTCATAATGGGTTGAACAAAATGATAACATGCCGGGTTAGGGTCTGGAGAAGCAATGGATAAATCTGATAAACTGTTCGGTGAGTTATAAGATGTTTCCACTTGCATTTTACACTGTAGAGCGAAAACATGGCASTTTATATGATGCACTTATTGAAGAGGTTATTTTTGTAAGGAAGCATCATAAACATCTTTGTGAACACATTGATGTTTTCTTTTGGTTATCTAAGGCTATTTAAAGAAGCAAATGAAGAATTTCAGCTATGTTGAAAGCATTTTCCCTCGAAATGAATGTTTGGCAACACTCTCATTCTATCGTGTGATTGATGTTCTTGTAGCAATCAACCAAACTCTGCCAGGTCTTGAATGCTTTCTTCGCGAAGTCTTAAGCAATGAAGGCCTCAGTTCTGAGGCAGAAAAAAAGAGGCAAGACTTTCTCAAGAGGCTTGAGAGTGTGTCTACGCCACCGTCACTGCCGCCTAGACCACCACAACTTCCACCAAGACTTCATCTCAGAAAAGATCTACCGTCCGGAAGTCGCGAGGAWGACTCGCTCTACAAGAATAGCATATTCGACGACCCAGTTGCTTTTGCCTCGCACCAAAGAGAGCTTTCAAGGCATTACACATTTTCAAAAGGCTATGTCGGTAGAAAAGAACTTTTTGGCGAGGATAGTCCACTGTATGTAGACCATGTACCSCACTTCCCTTCTTCGGCAACCAAGATTGTGAGTACACCAGTTCGACATAAAAATATTTAAGCTAAGTTAAAGCTTTTTAGCTTTGCAACATTACCAAACATCATCATTCATATTTTCATAACTCATTAGAACTTCGTAGTCTTCGTTATAAGTTAAGTGAGTTTTTTCTGTTGAAGTTTACCATCTCAGAATTTCACGACGGTCTTTCTCCGAATGAACGAAGAAGAAGTCGGGCACTTTTTGTTTTTCAAGCGTGGTGTTTATGTGTTAGATAAATGACAGTAAAACGTTTCGATGACTTGGAAAGTTTCGGGAAAAAGAATAAGAACGGAGCCCCAATTTAGCGCCTCCTCCAAATGTGTTTCAGAATGAGTGTTAAAACTATCACTTTTGTCAAAAGTTATTCATTTGTATTGTTAGGTATTGCCATAGGAATATTAGCGGCTGATTGCTGATTGTATAGATTTGTTTTGTTCGTGATCATAATTATGTGCCTCATTCAGGGAAACAATAGATTGTGTGACTGAACTCAAGAGCAAATCTTTCTGCCAACATGTTCGTTTTTTTGTTCTGGCATTTCCCTGACATATTTTTGAAAAACAATTAGTAGTAGCATAGCACGTGTGACATTTTGAATTTTGATTTATTGTAGTTGACTAGGTCTATGTCATTACTATTCAAAGTATTTCCTACAATACGATCGTTTTGTCTTGATTCTAAAAAAATGTGTGGTTCACAGAGGAGGGTATGGTCGGAAATTTGGTTCATGTGTTGTTTCTCATCAGTGCCTTCATCACTGAGCCATGAAAACGCGGTAAAAAAATATGTTTTAACTATCCCAAGGGCCCTAGTGTCTATTCCTTTATAAGCTATCCACTTTATATATTGTCTTCATTTAAATATAGATATTTATAGTAACTTCATATATATATATTCTCCATTATCTTCAGTAATTAAGGCCTTTCATATATCAATTTTAAAATTTGAACAAATGTTAGAATACTTGCATGTAGTTCACTTATGGATTATATGAACTTGACAAACTTAACAAAATACCAATGTCAATAAATTCAGAGTACAAAATGATCATTAACCTGAACTTCAACAATTAGATTAAATGTGATAAAAGATYAGTGACTGTTGAGCTCAATTGATATACATGTACTAGTAAACATTTCTGCACTGTAAATTAGCAAATATAAATGATTCAGCAAGTGCTTTTCTGCACTCTTTCAAAAATCTCATCTAGATGTCATGTGCATACAAATTCTGAAAAGAAAAGTAACATAAAGCTTTAATTTAGATCCAAATCAATGAATTGACAAGGATATGCTGTTTTCATTCAGCGAAAGCAGCACACATTCCATAGCTAGTTTTACCTACCTTTTTTGATATTATTTACCCAGTTCTTTTGTTTGAGAAGCATGCACCCTTTACTCCTCAAGAAATATGCAGCTAATGCTTCAGCTAAGGGGTCAAAACAAGCATTTTGTTGCACAAAGAAATAAAGTCA